TAGTCAGTTTAAGAAATAATCAGTGTTCAGTTTAAGAAATAGTGATAGTACTGATACTCAGTTTAAGAAATAGTGATAGTATCCGTGTTTAGTTTTCAAAAATAGTCGGTATTCAGTTTAAGAAATATTGTAATATTTGTATTTAATTTCAGAAATAGTCTGTTTAAGAAATAGTATAGTATCCATTTTTAGTTTAAGAAATAGTACATCTGTCTAGTTTCAGATATAACCATTAAAAAAAAAATTTAATGAAATAGGCTTGAACTAATTTTATTTTAATTAAAAAACATCCTATAATCTTCTTTAATATAAAAGGCTTGAAATTAAAAAACAGGACAAAATACAACATAACAAAAAGAAAAACTAAAGCCTCATAGGTAGGAAATAAGCCCACATGCAAAACCAAATTTTTTTATTCCAACCAATACCCTTCCGTCAGTCCAATTCCATCAGAAAATTGAATTTTCCTAGGTTTGAACTGAGTGAAAGGTTTGTCGGGGCCACACTCCCATTAAATATTAGTTTGGTTGTTGTGTGTTGTGTCTGCATGTCCATGAGTTTTGGACCAGGATCCTCTCCTGAGCAGATGGAGATGATCCTCCTGACCAGACCCATCGGGCCATTCATTTTTTATCAAACGGCTACAAACATGGGGTCCCTCTAAAAGTTATAATAATTATAGCCGTTAGATAAAAAATGAACGGCCCGATAGGCCTGATCAGGAGGATCCTCTCCATCTGCTCAGGAGAGGATCCTGATTCATGAGTTTTAGCCCCCAACTCTCTTCTCCTAGTATTTTAGCCAATAAGATGCGTCACATGCCCCACCACCTTCTCTAATCTTAAAAATTAGAACCTTCATCCCCAATTATTACTCCGTTGTTATTATTTTAATTATTAATTTATTAGCACTATAATTAGGCATATGTATGTAAGTATATCCACCACAAAATAGCATATTAAATTTATTAGCACTATAATTAGTCAACATCTTCCTCATTTGTTTGCCATATCCATATACTCATTTACTTGCAGAACATTAATCATATATAATTAAAATTGAATTGATTAAATCTCGAATGGTCTCAACTATCAAGGAAAATAGAGGAACTAAAATGAGAAAGAAGGATTGCTTATTTACTAATTTATAAATTAGTAAGAAATTAGAGGAATTGAATTAAGAAGGTTTTAGACTGAGGAAGATTCAAAATCAAAATCATGTTAAATGCTTATTAAAATATTTATAGAATCAAAGTAAGATTAATATAAATTTCATATAAGCTATTTATAAGTTAAACACTAACTATTTCTTAAACACACAGTCTCTCTCCCTCACTATTTTAAACTGATTATTTAAAAAAAATGAACACGGGTACTACAGTATTTATGAAACTAAACTCTAACTATTTATGAAACTAAACACAGCTACTACACCATTTCTGAAACTAAACACTGACTATTTATGAAACTGAACACGGGTATTATCACAATTTCTAAAATTAAGCAATGATACTATCATTATTTTTTAAATTGATCACTAACTATTTTTGAACTAAACACGAGTATTACACTGTTTTTGAAACTAAACACTTACTATTTCTAAAAATCGACCAAGAGTATTATCACTATTTCTTAAACTGAATAATGATACTATCACTATTTCTTAAATTAATCACTGACTATTTCTGAAAACTAAACATGAGTATTATCACTATTTTTTAAACTGGACATTGACAATTTCTGAAAATTAAAAACCTTGATCATACAATATGCACTCCTATAGATACAAATTCAAGATCAAATGTGTATGAACCTTGAGCATTGATTTCTTTCGTATAAGGACAACAAAATCAATATCCCTTGGGGAAAAGTGCAAAGAATATGCCTGCCCTTACACTAGCGCAGAGTTCCATTGACCCTAGCTTGGCAGCAATTCGTGCTACGTACGCAACCATCCACAACAAATATTGTTGAGATATACCAACGGGGTATTTCCAATCAGCTGCAGGAATCAAAAGGACAATGAGAGTGAATCATAGGCCAAATCAAAATATTAAACAAAATAAAATTTAAAGCTAAATTGAATGCTTAAGTTTCATGAAGAAAAATGGTAATTCGGTGACATCGTTCTTGATTGCAAATTTGACTTGCATAGTTATCTTCTCTTGCAGCAAGCTGTGAAAACATATTCAAATGTTCAATTCTACTGCAAACCAACCAATCTTTACATTTCAAAAATAATTCATTTATTAATTTAAACAATAAAAGTTCTACAGATCAAAAGCAACCAGAAAACTCCAAACACTTAATCATTTCATCTTCTTAAAAAATCACTTGAAAAAGATATGAGTAAAATATTGCGAAAGCCCAGAAATAGTCAACATAATCAAAACTAGAAGACCCCAAATATGCAGAAAATAAATAGAGAAAAACAAATCCACACTTTTCACAAATTCGAAACCAAACGTACCTCTTAGAGTCCATCTTTAAGCTATCTCTGATGATTGTCAGAACTCGCTCGAACTCCTAGTTATTAGTGGAAGACTGGTCGGGAGCGTCCCCAACTTCTCGAACTTTTCTTGGCCTTGACTTCCTCATGGATCACAAGGGTAGCGTCATCTCCATCATAGACGATCATATCGAAATTATAAATTGAGAAAATAACAGAGAGAAAATGACATGAGATTTGTAGAAACTTGTAGAAACCGTACATAAGTTTTTTTTTATTTCATCCGAAGTGAAACAGATTTAGGCCTCGTTTGGCAGTTCGAATTGTACTGACTATTTCTGTTGGATACGATTAATAGTCATCTGATCAGGTACTGACTAAATTAATCGAACGTTTAGTTCAGTATCGGACTAATGATCGTATTATTTATATTGCGTTTAATATTATAATGGACAAGAGAAATCAAACTTAAAATAAAATTAAAAAAAAAACTGAAATCATTTCTCAACTCTTTTGTTCCCCAGATCTCTCCGCCGCACCCCCCCCAAACTCCCTCCCTCTCTCTCCCTTCTTCTTCTTCCCTGATTGATTTCCGACTCCAAAGCTCTGCAATTAACACCCACAGACTCAGTTTTCCTTCACTACAATTTCAGTCAAGAACCTTTCTGCAAATACACCATGTTTCTTTGCAAGACCCGGTTGCAGAAGAAGTCCAGAAACATATAATCCCTGCCAACATCATTGCAGGTTTGTCAATTTAGTACATTTTCTCATTTGAAGAGATGACCAGGTACCTCGATTGGCATCAGAGCATCTAACGTCAAATTTTATTTATGAAAAATTTCTATTGAAAAAGCAGCTCTCTATGAAGGGAAAAGAATCAAGGGTTTCCACTTCTGTGCCCCTAACAAAAGAGAATGGAGGGTAAAGCCTTAGGCCCTATTTTGGGTCAATGGTGATTTGGCCAACGGTGAAGAACAGAGGGAGGGGGAAGAACAGAGGGAAGGGCAGAACCTGGGAAGAAGAAGAAAAATGACAAACGAACTGAGATTCAAACGAAGAAGAAGAATTTGAGAAGATGGACCTGAGATTCAGACGAGAGAGCAAGAGTGCGTCTGGAGAGGAAGAGAGAGCGTCTGGAGAGCGAGAGTGCGTCTAGAGAGGAGCCCGACTAAATTGTACCGTGGTTTTCGACGGTACAAGCAAGCGGGTATAGATCGTATAAAAAAGGTGGGCCAGATTATTTAATCTGGTGACTATTTAATTCAAAGGAACATCAAACACCATACTCCGTATTATTAGTATTATTTGGTGACTTATACGGTGTGCCAAACAGGGCCTAAATAAACGGGAGAAGGGGCTGCCATCAGGTAAAATCAGAAACTCATTGTTTGAGCCAGTTTTGATTGGGCTGATTTAATGTTGGGTTTGTCCTAACAATTAAATAAAGTTAGTAGGTGGTTTTTGGTTAAGATTCAAAGTTGTGAAACCCTTTTCATTATTATTATTATTATTATTATTATTTTTCACCAAAAGGAGAATGATTTTGTGAAAACAATCCAAAACCATAGTAACTAGTCACTAACTTATTCTCCAAAACCTAAACCCTAAACTTTTTTCTTTTTTTTTTTTTCACAAAACCATTACCCTGCTACTCGGTCGAAATAGGAGTTGAAGTAGATCGAACTCGATGGAAACAGGAAATGTGTGTGATACGGCTCGTCGCGCTCAAAGAAGACAACCTAGTTATGCAACGTTTTAGTTTTAGAGATATTTTTCAGTGTACTGGGAACACGGCTCGATACACTAACTATCATAATACAAGTTATTGAAATTTTTTTTTCAAGTATCCAACTACTTATATTATAACACTTATTGTACCAGACCGTTTTTTTGTCATATTGAAAAATTTATCGTCGTACCGGGCTTAGCCTCACAATAGGCTATCAATAATGTTGTTCAAATTTGCATTTGGCGAAAATCGATAATAAGACCCCTTACTTACAAGTGAAAAAGAATACCACTAAACCGTAGTACTAATTAAGTGGCTAATAATTGAGATAATATATTATGTTTATCTCTGAATCTGCTCTCTTATCTTGAAAGTTGGAGTTTCTATGATATAGTATTGTATCGCCGTATTTGTATTTGTCTTTAAACGACACATGACTTGATTGACAGTATCTTAAGCCTTTTTATTTTAAACTGCTGCTATGTATATACACCCTGATCGCTTGCTTCAAGTTTTCTTTCATTTTTGTTTCCTTCCCTTGTATGTGTTTTGAAGAAGTTCAGGCATCCTCAGAGGGTCAGTTTTTATTCTTTGTTTGGAGAGTCATGGGTTTTGTTTGTTTGGAGAATGATGTTAGTAGTTGAAATGCATATACGGCTCAAAATTTATGATATAATCGTACATGTATGATTAGCAGTTAAATTCTCTTACATACAAGGAGTCTAGCTAGTAGTATATATTATGAAAATAGTAAGGCAAAATCTCATTAAAAATAGGGATCCTATACAAAGTAAATAAAAGTCTGTCAGATGATATAGTTAAAAAAACACAAACCCTACTGTGTAAAACATATATATTCTTCTGATAATTGCACAACCAAGAACCAACCATACAAGAATTTTTACATAATTAAAAACTTAAACCAACACGTAACACCTTATTTGAAAATTAATTATACATGATTCGTAGTTAAATCTATTAATTAGATTAGATCAAGGTGAAGTGCTTTGTTTTGAAGAAGAAGCTGGGGGGATTCCAGGGATCCGAGGCGTAGGTGGGAGTGGGAATGGGAATGGAGGGAGGAATGGGAGGGTTGGTGGTGGCGGTGACGGCGATGGAGTGAAACCAGGTATAGGTGGCAGGTTGGGAATCAATGGTGCGGGACCTGCTGGTGGAGAACCTGGAAGAGGAGGCAAATTAGGAATTAATGGAGCCGGTGGGGGCTGAAATGGATTAGGGATAATTGGTGGAAAGAAAGTATCTGGATGGACTACTTCTTTATTATCACCTAGTTGCCCATTCTTTGAAGTTTTGGAGTTGGACGACCCAGATGAAGTTTTTCCAGCAGCAAGGGGAGAACCTGGAATTCCAGGAAGTCCTGGGAGGCCTGGGAGACCTGGGAGGCCTGGGAGTCCTGGGAGTCCTGGGAGTCCTGGGAGTCCAGGGAGGCCTGGGAGGCCTGGGAGACCTGGGAGTCCTGGGAGACCTCCTGGGAGACCAGTTGGGGTGGGAGAGAGAGGAGGAAGCTGTGGCAGTGGTGGAAGATAAGGGATCCTAGGGACGGGAGGGAGATCAGTCATTGTGGGGTCCGCCTGAGAGGGGGATGGGAATGCCAGCTCATCAGTAGGAGGGAATGAGAACTTCTGGGAATTTAATTTCTTGGAATTCTGAATGCTGGGTTTCTGGTTGCATAAACCGGGTTGCTTGAGAGGCTTGAAGGTGAAGAAACCAGCAGAGAATATGTGGGTCCCTTGCTTTCTTGCCTTGAGGTGTAGGGAAGATGAGGTGGCTGATGAGGCAACAGCACAGTAGGGTTCACTGCTGCTGATTAGTTTCACAGAGCATCCTTCAATTTTCTTCACATGTTTGCTCACTGAGAAGGGCAGATGGACTTTGAATTGTCCATGGCTATTTGTTTTCACTTGTGCCTTAAAACTTGGTTTCGTTGAACTCCCATCATTGCATTCCACACCAACAAAAGCCCCTGCACAAAAACCCCATCAGATTATTGATGTTGTGGAGAATGCATTCATAAGATGTCGGGATGTTTTGTTGACTGACAAAGAAATCGACAAGTTACTGATGATATAACTGTTTGGCAACAATGATATCGACACATACAACTGATGTATCCTCCATCTTTTCTTTAAGAGAAATAATATCCCAACACTCGTTGTCTGTTGGAAATAAACTGTGATTGAAAGCAGAATCCTACGGTCAAGAAGTTAGATTAGGTGAGATTTTGTTGTAATTGATTTGTGTTATTTACTTTTTCTCATAGGAAATATCTGTATAAAGGGTTTACAATCAGCAGTAATGAAATGTTTCATTCTGGCCAATTCTATCTCTCAGCAGTCACTTTATTGGATTTTACATTTTTTCCTTTTGTACACCTTTGTTTATTTCTTTTTTTTTATTTTTCTTTGATTTATTCAAATTTAAAAATTAAAAAGAAACATGAGAGAAGGGAGAGAGAAGGGGTGTACGGAAATCATTGAACGAACGTCTGTTCTATAGCCAGACTACAATATAAAAAGAAACTTGATGACGAACTTTTTGAAAATTTGAGATGAATTTACCTGAAATGAAATGGCTGGTATGTGAGAAATCCTCTTGGAAACATGTGTCACAGTAGACAGTGCCTACAACAACTGCAGAAGGATCGTTCTTCTCATGGCTAGCCTCTGAAGGAGTATGAAATGTAAGAGTAATAACCAGAAAGATAACTGTAAGCCAAGACATGTTTTAGAGCCTATCTTTTCCCCCTCTAAGAAGCTTTCATATTCCTGACTCTAAGAATGAGTTGATACAGGCTGCCTTTTATACAATTGCAGAGGCTTTATAACTAATATAAATATTCTCTGTAGGATTAGACACTTTTTTAGGCATAAAAAAGGACACTGCTAGACTATTTTCTGCAATTCACAATACGTACGCAAAATTAACTCATTAAATTAACCGTGATTGATAGACAAATAAGGAATGACTGTTTTCGAAATTTATAGCCTGCGGTCCATCAAGCTTCATTATTTCACTCATGGAAAAACCAGTCAACTGCAAACCACAAGAAGTGAATGTAGCTAGGTTTCATTTCCTACCACCAAACCATACAAGAAAAAAAAGGGTAATATTTGTAATGGTGGGCAAGTAGAAACAAGGAGGTCCCTAATTTTTGTGTTGCTGTGTGTTTTGTTTATTTTACATTTATTGAGGTTGTTTCTTTGTTGGTGTAAGAATGCCAAAGAGAATAGTTGGGTCCCCGTTGGTTCACGAGATAAGTAGAGTGGCCACAAATTTCATGAGGATGAAGCTGTACACCGTCAACAACAGGTTGCTGCATTCATGTTTTCTCTTCACACAGAAACAAATGATGCATGGGCGCCTACTATATTGGTAAGAAACAGGTATATATGACATTCTTGTGAGATTCTATCGTGTAACCAATGATCTCTCTTTGCATCTATCGCATACAAGCAGATGATAAGCTCCTATCATATTGACTACAAACATAGATATATATAAACAGAAATATCTTAATTATAGATCTTAGATTTGATAAGAGTTGTAGATACAATGTGATATATTTGCGGTTGTCTCGCACAACATAAATACATGTGAAAACTAAAACTCACAAAAACAAAAATGGCAACTTTCCATGGTGTCAGAATATGGTATTTGAGCAGGGAATAATTAAGATCTTATCATGATATAATAATGTGACATTAATAAGGGAAATGCTTCTACTCCAAATCTCGGGGATGTCTTCTACTTCTATGAGGACACTTAGCTGAATCATTAGCATCATTATTAAAAGAGAAATGCTACAGAGATCCCTTTAAAGTGAGACTCTCTATGAATTCTCTGCTTCACAATTTAATATCAATTTCTGTGTTAATATTATAAAATATTATGTCAAAAACATAAGGTAACAAAGAATTCATAAAGAATCTCATTTTTTAGAGAATTTCTTTAGCATTTCTCTTATTAAAATTTGCTTTAAATTGTCACCAGTAAAAGGAGAGAAAGTTTGACTAATGTGATGATGTGTATAACATCCAAATTAGGGTTTCTCCGTACACTCATGTTGTTGTTTGCACCAAGTTTCTTTTTCATCTAAATATCCTTTCCTACCCACAATCTGTTTATTTTGTCCTTAATTGAATTTCCGCTTTGTGAGGAAACCTAAGGCTACTTCAACAATTCTCATTTTCCAATAACTGCTTGGAAGTTTAGTGAAAAACTTCTCTACTGACAAAAGGGAAACACTTCGGTGTCACCAAAATTATATCCTCGTCTAAAATATTTTACTCATTACATAACTACAGTCGTATTGTCCACAATCGTAACGTACCTTGTCACATGCAAGAAATATTCCCCCACATGACAAAGGCACAACTCCAGAATAGTACTGTCAAATGGATTTGCACTGGAATTGACAAATTGGCTGCACGAAGTTTTGCATTGAGCTGCTAACAAACCCACAAACATGTGCCGTTTCATTCTTTGTCCGTGTTGCAATTTTTTACAACGTAAGGCGGTTCTTGAATGTCCAAGTTTTATCTACGACAACCAAAAGTCCACTACTATCTTGTGATGAAATGTTTTTCTTTTATACAGTTAAAAATGGATGGCAATTCAGTAGTGTTCGATTTATCTATATTTGTGTTCGTATCTACTCAAATTGATCGATGTACAAATAATTCATATTTATTGAATAAAATTGAGAAGTTTTCATCTTACTAATATAATAAGATGTAAACGGTGTTGCTTGTTTATTTGTATTAACGTGTTGTGTCTGAAATTATTGAGATATGATTCTCGTCGGATCTTCTTTGTGAGGATCCTGGATATCCTTTAATCATGTCATTTCATCGTACATCGTATGGTCAGAAATTATTTTAAATTATATTTATTTAAAATTGAACATAAATAATATTTAACAAAAACTGATCGCACGATTTACGAACAGAATTAAAAAAATGATGCTTTTGTCCAATTCGCTGTCATCACGGGTTACAAGACGTCCTGTCTTCTCACGGGCGAGTTTAAGCCTTGTGGGGGAGTGACATGGGCTAGGTTTAAGGACTTTTACAGGTCTCACCAATTTTCAAATGGTGTCAAATTTGAAATATATAAGATAATAGTGTTATTTTAATTTGTTTATCTTCGGATTGGGTGGTCTATTATTATTGGAACTATAATCTACACGTCACACTTGAAATATGGCATTTTCTCCTAGGAGGATCCTCTTTGTAAGGATTATAGGGATTTTTCAATCACATCCGTTTATCATACATCGTGCGGTTATAAATCATTGTAAATTTTTTTATATAAAATTGATAACAGTACCTGACAAAAACTAACCGCACGATGTACGATGAACGAATATGATTAGAGGATCCGACAAGGATCCTCTCTCCCTTTTCTCATTCTATATGAGTGAATTTATGCATATTTTAAGGTTGTAGGATTAGCCGAGCTATTGAGAATAAGAAAGAGAGCTATTATTAACATTTTAAAATAATCATCATGAACTAGTAATGTAGCTAGAATTTTCAAATAATGAAGTCATAATATCAACAAAAAAAGCTTCATTGGGCCATTTCATCAAGCACCTAGTAAGCACCTATCAATTCCTGTCAACATGTGCCAAAAGTTTTTATGACAACATATGTTGACAACTGCTATTATTTGTACAGGCTAGTTGAGGGTGGATGCAGGATATACTGGAATAATGTTGAAGATTACAAAGTCTTTTCAGCTAAAGTATTTCATACAAGAAGAAGAGAGAAAAGGAAGACAAATATGATAGAAGAAAATAGAAGATGTAGGAGGAGAACGTTGTAATTGAGTTTGACTTAACTATTTATAGGTGTCAAATACAATATACAAACAAATATACATAGGGTTTTTAAAGTAATTGTTAGGGTCAAGAACAACTAATGACCCTATACTGACTCCGCCATTGTCATAAACTCTCTTCGTGATAACATATTGTGACTTTCAGTGCACTGAAGCATAAATGTAATAGATAGAAGTATAAAATTTTGCTTCTTTAAATTTCACCCCTTCGTCAATGCAACGCAATATATAGTAGATTCTCAAGGAGTTTAGATCAATGTAATTGTATATTGTACCCCATACACGTATTGACTCAGGCAGGGCTGCAGGTTAGTTATGTAAGAATTATATACCATTATCCACATGCATCAATCCCCAAGCCCACCAAGAGACTTCGAAAGGCAAACCTGGCTCCATTTAACCAAGTTAACTTTAGTTTTGGATTGAGTGGAGCTGCAGATGAAATTCTTATTCAACCTGTCAAGTTGATCACAAATGGTAACTGGTAATTTCCACTGTCTACATGGGATATACTGGGACAACGAAGGTGACAAACTGAACAAGAGTAGCCCAACCAGCAAGAGATAACAAATTCACTTTCCAAGTAGAAAGTCAAGCTTGAGCCTTTTTAATCAGGCCTTTGTA